GTAACGGATAACCAAGCGTCGCCGGATATCTCGCCCAAACGTGATTTTCTCAACCACTTCAGGCCATTAAGGCGTAATTACAGGGATCCACGATGTAATTAATTTACCTACCTTATTTTTACCCTTAATCGGAATGTATAAAAGGGGAGAAGACCCCATAAGGAGGGGACCGGAAAAAAACCATTACACTACAGTACCATCTCTCTAAATTCTTGTACGCTATCAAGCACAATTGTTCTAAGCAATATTATATTCTGCGATTATTTACTTTAATAGCAATTGTTGAGTCTTTATCTTTATTTTCCTCAACCTAAATCTTTTGTATCTTTTAGTTCACGGATCCTTAAAACCCCATATAAATTCAATTGTTATCCGGATTCTAGGGTAAACAACTTTAGACCTAATTGATCAACAAAGACATGTGTACCATTTTGGTAATGGTAAGGACGCACATAGCTCCGTAATAATGAAGGAATATCTAACAAAATTGTACTCCAATTCATGGGCAAATTTAAATGTTTTCACTTTTTAAAATGTCAAAATGAAATAAACATATTAATGAAGGAATATCCAAATTATTTTGCACAGTTCATGGGCAAATTTATACATTTTCGATTTTAAAATGTCAAAACGAAATAAAAGAAAGAGCTGTTTTCTATTTCGTTGAGAAGAAAAAAAAAATTTGATGGTTGGAACTCATCTTAGTTAACCACATTTTTCACCCTATTGTTTTTGGAAATGCTTAGCAATCACACTTTGTAACAGAAAAACTTTGAAGTACTAAAAAAATAAAATGTCATTTAAACTGAAATACAATAAATCATGAAATAATTTTTACAGTGATGCTACGAGTTTAATTCAGTGTTCTCCTACATTACTCAGTTGGATCATCATTTTCAATTTTATAATAGAAAATGAATTAAGTATAATCTTTCTTCAAACATTAATAAAATTTGGTTCAAGTTATAAATAGAATCATACTAAATTTGTTCTTTTTTAAAAAAAAAATCCAAACATATTAGACTTTCTGTAAGTAAATATTAGAAAGAGTAAATTGCTATTAAGAATCAGAACTTATAAGCTAGCGTTTGGCCATAGATTCCCAAATTTGTTTTAAAAAAATTGATTTGGGTGAAGTTTGGTTTGAAAATGAAAATGTTTGGACATAAGTTTTCAAAACATATTTCACTTTTTTTTTTTGAAAAAATACGAAATATGACTTATACCTACAAGTTCTAAAAACTATCACAAATACCCAACGGTATCTTTATCAATAATATTTATTATATTATCGCAAATCATAATCCTGAACATAAATAAATTTGGTACAAAATTATCATTTTTATAATGAACTACATAATACACTATCAGATGATCGAGAAGACGAAGCAATATTGTTACAAAATAATAAAGAGGCGTTTTCGTATATATACCATATATGAAACTATACCAAATATGTTCATAGTTTGCTTATTACCCTTCATGTTAATAGTATTTCTACCTAATATATACAATGCATTAAATAAGGAATCACTGTAGCTTTATGATTCCTTATTTTGCGCGCTAAAAAAGGGGAATTAAATATTTTCCAAATCTTCCCCAACGCAAATCACGCACATTCCATAATTATCGTCGGTTTCACTCTGATCTTTCACAACGCAGAACAAGATTTTCCGTACTCTGTTTTTGCGATACACTCTGTTTCCAGAAATTCTCTCTACATCTCTCTCTATTTCTCAATCGCAAATTTCAGTAATACAAAGCAAATGAAAAGAGAGCAGCAATTCCACCATTGACAGCCATTAAAAAGCTTGAAAGCTTTGAATTCAAATTTGGATTTTTAAAAATCATTATTTGTTTGGATTGGGTGTTGTTGAAAATAATCGGGAATATAGTTTGGAGTTTATATCTCAATTTTTTTGAGGGGTTTTGGTGAAGATTAGACTTGGTTTTGACTGAATTTCAGATTGAAACTCGAAGAAGAAGAAGAAGAAGACATATTGCAGAAATTGTAGATAAATTGTAGATTATTTGTATTCTGATTGTAGATGTTTTATTTTCTGTTTTCACAAATAAAAAACGGGAAAAACTTCTACAAATCTTCTGAAAAAACGCAATTATGTCAAAAATCCTAATTATGCTACAATTGAATGGGAATTGGGATATAAAAATTCAATGTACCCAGTTTGTAGATATTTTATAGATAAATTGTAGACTATTTGTATTCTAATTGTAGATGCTTTGTTTTCTGTTTTCACAAATAAAAAATGACTAAAACTTCTACAAATCTTCTGCAAAAAACGCAATTATGTCGAAAATCCCAATTAAACTACAATCGAATGGGAATTGGGATATTAAAATTCAATATACCCAGTTTGTAGATATTTTGTAGATGAATTGTAGATTATTTGTATTCTGATTGTAGATGCATTTTTTTACTGTTTTCACAAATCCAAAACGACTAAAACTTCTACAAAATCTTCTGCAAAAAACGCAATTATGTCGAAAATACCAATTAAGCTACAATTGAATGGGAATTGGGATATTAAAATTCAATTTTGTAGATTCTTCCACCATTGCAAAAGCTCACTTCGTCGACATTCTTTATCTGACATAGGAATGTAAAAATTTCATATATATAATATATATATATATATATATATATATATATATATATATATATATATATATATATATATATATATATATCTGTGTGTGTGTGTGTGNTTTGGCGTAAATCAGATCAAATCATATTCTTCCAGATATTCCTATTTAGGCGCGCTACAATTATGGAAGTAAATATTCTTCCAGATATTTTCCACCATTGATAGCCATTAAAAAGCTTGAAAGCTTTGAATTCAAATTTGGGTTTTCAAAAATTAAGTTTTTTGTTTGGATTGGGTGTTGTTGAAAATAATCGGGAATATGGTTTGGAGTTTATATCTCAATTTTGAGGGGTTCTGGTGAAGATTAGACTTGGTTTTGACTGAATTTTTGATTGAAACTCGAAGAAGAAGAAGAAGAAGAAGAAGAAGAAGAAGAAGAAGAAGAAGAAGAAGAAGAAGAAGACATATGCAGAAATTGTAGATAAATTGTAGATTATTTGTATTCTGATTGTAGATGCTTTATTTTCTATTTTCACAAAAAAAAAACTTCTACAAATCTTCTGAAAAAACGCAATTATGTCAAAAATTCCAATTATGCTACAATTGAATGGGAATTGGGATATAAAAATTCAATGTACCCAGTTTGTAGATATTTTGTAGATAAATTGTAGATTATTTGTATTCTAATTGTAGATGCTTTGTTTTCTGTTTTCACAAATCCAAAACGACTAAAACTTCTACAAAATCTTCTGCAAAAAACACAATTATGTCGAAAATATCAATTAAGCTACAATTGAATGGGAATTGGGATATTAAAATTCAATGTACCCAGTTTGTAGATATTTTTTAGATAAATTGTAGATTATTTGTATCCTGATTGTAGATGCTTTGTTTTCGATTTTCACAAATCAAAAACGACTAAGACTTCTACAAATCTTATGCAAAAAACAGTCTACAATTTAGTATAAATGTAGTAATTATGTAGATACCCTTACAAATAATACTGCTTTATACATACTTAAACTGATTTGTTGTATATTTGTAGAATTTTTGTAGAAAATATACTGAAAAATATGTTCTTTCAGTATATATCTAGCATATTCTCTGTTGCTAATTGATTCTGTTTTCATCTTATCTCTAACTGGAATGGTTCTGATGGATGTTTGAATTGGGAAATGTTAAGGTAAGATTTCCAGTTAATATTACCGAAAGTTCCCAAGAAATGCAGTATTTATTCACCAAAAGTTGCTACTGATTTTCCATCACAACTAATAGCATCATCTGGAATATATGGAAGAACCAAAAGCAATATTTTGGATTAGGCTTCAACGAGAAACTTATTACATCGAAGAATGAATATTGGAGGAATCTGCATCCAAGAATGCCTGGATTAAGCACTTCAAATTCTGTTCTCATATACAAAGAAGAATTTTCAGATTCCTTTAATTAAGGAGTAAAAAACGTACAATTAATTATACCCTTAATTAATTATGGTATAGAATTGGTAATTTGGTATACTAAGTGTAATTAAGTCAAACCTTAAACATTGAGGGTAATAAGGTTTCCTATGTGGCATTGCATAAGAATGTAAAAATTCCAATAATAAATGGTGGGCTCTTTGTAAAATATAAAAGTTTGGGGCAATTTTTTTTAAAAAAGTGATAGTGTTATTTTGGGCCTCTTGAGCTGGTTTTGGGATTTAGGTTTTAGGAATTTGCTAAAATGTAGATAAATTTATGGTCCAAACAGTATTTGCAAAAAACCCCCTAATAATGTTTGGTCAAAATTGATAGGTC